TTTTTTTTTTACTAATCAGCTCTCCTTAGTGTTCATGTTTTTAATGTGAGGCCTAAGACAGCTCTTATCCTTCCAATGTACAGCAGAGTGGAAAAAAAGGTTGGGCACCCCTGTTGTAAGTGGTAAAAAGGAAAGAGGAGAGCAAACAACTTTTCCTTAGTCTCATTGGCCACCCCTAGTTGTACGGAGCACTGGAAAAGATCTTTTTAGCTGTGAGCTCATTGCTACTGTATGTAAAATTGGAGTTCTATTAGTAAACAGGAAGAGAAAAGTGGGTGTTAGATTTGTAGGTGGTAATACATCCCATTATTTTCTCAAGAACATACCATGTCCCTTAACTTTTGTGACCAATATAGCAAAATAAATTAGACTAGAATTTAAGCCTCTATAACTTTAAGCAGATCGCTTCTGCATCAACTTCCCTGTTTATGAAATGATTAGGCAAAATAAGCTAAGTGCCAGGGGCCTTTATGCCTCTGTCTTAGCATCTGTGTCTGTCCTAAAATCAAGTAAACAATATCACAATCCCAGACTATTACATCAGTCATAGATATGTGTAGAAGGGAACCATGTCAGTGGAAGGAAAATTAAAGAAATGCTTTTGCTTAAATTTTGGTACTCTGCTTACATATCACGAATACTTTTGAGACAGTGCTATAGCATCATAGCTCATAGCAACCTCAGACTCTTGGGCTCAAGCAATTTTCTTGCCTTCCCAGAATGCTAGGATTATAGGTGTGAGCCACCATGCCCACATTATCCATACTTTACATTAAGTGAGACTCTTCCTTAGTCATGATTTCAAAAGTCAAAATAGTATACTCATGGTTTGGGGTTCATTTTATAATGCCATAATAAATTATCAATTATAAAACATGCTAAATTATACCCCTTAGACATAAGCATTTGACCACCCTACCCAAAATATTCCTGTCACTTTCTATCCTCTGGTACTACTTATTTCTTATAATTTTCTGACTTATTTGTACATACACATAGTACATTTCTCTACCAGTTGTAAACCCTGTGTTAAGAGACTTGTCTGTTTTGTTCATCACTATCTCCAGTGCCTAGAACTTATCCAGCATGATGTAGGTACATAAATGAATGAACGTGTTTGTGAAAAATTCACAAGAGAATCTGAATATTTTAATAGCTAAGTAGAATCAGGCCTTGCTTTATGCTCATATACCATTTATTCCAGCCATAATTAACTCAGATAATTTATAGACCTTTGTTATTCTTTTAGGTTGGTTAAACCAATCTGTTTTGTTTCTTTCAGAGCCAAGTACTCTAGGGAACATTGTAGAAGAAGTGACTCATCCCTGTAACCCAAATCCTTGCCCAGCCAATGAGCTCTGTGAAGTGAACCGAAAAGGATGTCCATCTGGAGACCCCTGTCTTCCATATTCTTGTGTTCAGGGTAAGAGGTAGGGGTAGGTGTGGGACGAATCTGGGTAGTACTGCTCTTTTTTCTTTATAGGGGTTATATTTGAAGTGAGGTTATAAAGGACTTTATTTTCTATATTATGTTGGTCTGTAATATTAGAGGTTTCCCATTAAACATGCATTTATGTAATCAGAAAAAAGCAAAGATACATGTAATTTTCAATTCTCATTTAGATTATAAACCGAGAATTTATATCGAAAACCTGACTCTCG